GTGTCATTCACCACTGATTCGAGAATTTTACTGTGTATGCTTAGTAATGATACTGGTCTGTAATTAGCTACTATTGTCTCATCATCCCCTTTGTGTAACGGAGTGATCCTTGCCAATTTCCACTGTGAAAACACAGCTTCACGATTCATAGTACACTGATACAAACGAGTCAAGGATGGTACAGTTGCATTCCCGGCTAGTTTCAACAACTTTGGATAAACGTTATCTGGACCTGCAGACTTCTTTACTTGAATGGAATTTATCTTGTTTTCTACAATCTTACAATCAATAGCAACCCGGAACAACTGTGGCACGTTAATATGCCCTGCTTGACAAATGGTTCCACAAGCTGGTAACATTGGCAGCTGACTGTTTAGCTTAACACCAACAGTAGACAAGACAGCTAAAGCATTGTCCTCTCTTCTTATGGGACCAATACTTTTTCGTATCTTCGAGACAATCGCTTTATTTACCAGATTCCAGTAAGCTCTTGAATCCCTAACTTGATGAAACATCTCAGCAAAATAGGACGCTTTTGCAAGTCGTATAGAGAGTGTAACATCATTCCGGGCTCTCTTGAATTCCGACCACTCTACATGACTTTTAGAAACCACAGCAGATTTAAAAATTTTAAACCGTCTATTCATTTTGATGCGTATTTCATTAGTTATCCATGGTGGTGCCTGCCTCTTTATTTTAACTTCTTTCCATGGAAAATGATCGTTACAAATATCATTAAACAGAGATTGCCAAGCCCACAAACAGCCATCCTTATCGTCGAATATGTCAGTCACATGAAACGGTGCATTTTCCAGGTCGAATTTGAAGTTCTTTAAATCCATTTTATTGAAGTTTTTAACATTTAAATAAAATGTTAATGATTATAAACTTACCAAAGAGCAAAAACAAAACTTTTCAGACTCGGCATCAACCTTGGTCAAATTTCTATTTTTGACAATAGACAACAGATAGTGGAATGTCTAAGGACAAAGTACAAGCATATTTTCGCACCAAATAGAAGCTTTTGTGTTTTTCTATCCTTCAAATATTTTTGCAAAGCGCGACTGAAATGTTTACGAGCAGTTAACTATTTGATGTGCATGGCCGGGTTTTTACTTTTCAGTGTTCAATACTACCACTTTGTGAACGAAAAAACTGTCAGATATGTTTACCAGAAGAAAGCAAACTTTCTCGAGACTTCACAACAAACTTTGTCGAGACAGCTCTCAAAATAAATGGATTCTTGTGTTAGTTTCCACTCCGCAGCTGTTTCAGGCTGTGTGCAAACTACCAGGAATCTCGTCATAGAAACAAAGGATATACTCAACCATTAACCTACCTTTCTCCCTGATTCTGATCAAATAAAAACAATACGTTTTATTATTCTTTTTAAATCTAATGACTTCTCTTCGTTTATTAATTATAGACCACTTTCAGCTTAACCAGCTTTGTCTAAAAGCAAAAATTACCTTAATTACAAGGCAGCGGCTATAATGTTACTGTTCAAATTTTCAAATTATTAGATTGTTGG